ATCCCGCAAAAATAATGTTTTTGAGGAGTGCAGGATGACTGCGGGACGAATTAAAATAATTGTTTCAGGGGCTGCGGGAAAGTTGCGGGAAAGAAGAAAATAAATGTTTTGGAGGAGAAATGAGGTGTATGAGTGAAGAAGGCCCCAAAGTGCCCGAGGGGCGTTGACAGCTGGGTATAGGGAGCTTCTTCAAGCTAGCGCCACCCAAGTGCTGCTGGTTCCACCCAGCTGTCTTCATTCCCATCCTTGATGCCCTGAAATCAAGGCGTGGCGAGGTCAGGTCACAGTTTGAGTCCCTGCTGCTCAAAGTCCCATGCGTGCAGTGCGATCAGCAAGCCTGCAAGCAATCAGCATGCTTGCATTGAATGTTTGGCAGCCATAAATGCATGCATGCATGCATAAATGGACTTGAAAGTTAGGTTTTTGTGATATTTTGATAGGTTTGATGATGTTTTGAAGCTTGTTTCACCTGTTGCTTTCTTGCTTGTGTCCGCATGCATGAGCATTACATGCTTACTTTCTTGCTTGTGTCCACATGCATGAGCATTGCACACATGCTATCTTGCTTGTGCCTGCATGCATGAGCATTGCATGCACGCTGACGTGCTTGAGGGCATGAGGGGCTGTTTGCCCGAGGGGCTGTTTGCCCATGCGGGAATGTGCGGGATGGTTAGAAAAAATTATTGAGAGGGGTGCGGGATTGACGCGGGATTGTGAAAATGAATATTTTTATAGGGGTGCGGGATGATCACCTGGTTGTACGGTATATATATAGGCGACAATTTAACATTGATATATATATATATACTTATATACATATATAATTATATATAATTATATATATATTATCTATATATGTATATACACACACACACACACATAGTTGAACCTTGCTCCGTTAGTGTAGTGGTCATCACTCCAGCTTCTGGTTCTTAAATCGCTAGTGCCTGGCCCCACTGACAACAATACCGATCCTTAGTGCTTGATGCTGTTCTTTCGGCGCAGGTCATCCAGTGACTGGCTGCAGGTACCGTAAGTCTTATGTGCATGTACAAAAGATGTGCGGGAAAAAAATATGCATGGTTATGGGGAAGGTCAGAGGGGGGTCAAAAAAGGCAGCACACATGACCAAGTGAGACATGTGCAATGCTCAAAGGCTAGCAGTCGCGCGTTTTGACTGAAGGCCTTTTTTTCCCTGTACCCCTGTACCCTGTAACCCTGCAATGCTCAGATGCTCTAGCAACATGATGATGGGGCCGTGGCACACTCCTCATGAGAGTGAGATGGGAAGCTAATTAGCTTTGATTACAATCAAAGTGCTCTATCATAGCTAACCTTAGACACCAACCACAGCAAGCCATTCACATGTCCCCTTCGAGGCGTGTGGAACAACTTGCTGATTGCCATTTTCATGAACCACACAAACAAAAATAATCAGACAAGCAAGAAGAAGGAACCACCCGGAAGGTTTTAAAATGTCTTCTCTCCCCTCAGCGAGACAGTGGCCTCATCCCAAGCCATGGCAGCGTCCACCTCAAGGCTAGCAGTCAACTTGGGGTGAGGTCCGTGTGGCTGCTGAGTGCATCATGCAAGG